TTATTTTAATCTGATATAAAAAGTGAATAACAGTATTCAAAGTCTTATTATCCTACTATTAAATAAATTTGTAACAAAATAATTTGGCTACAACTTAATTTTCTACTCTGATTTTCATTAAAAATGTAATAACGTCATTTGTGTCCATGAATTTACATAAAACATAAATTAAGAAAAAAATATTAACATTACTTGAGATTCAGCAAAAATATCAGGGTTCCCACAGTCTGGAATTTTTTTTAAAGTGGTAGCAAAAGTGAGATATATCTAGATGTTATAAGCCATCAATAAATATTCAATTTAAAGGAAATATGTATGGACGCAAAAAAAATAACTCGGGATTAATTTTTTAATTCACGAATGAAAAGTAAATTTAAGCATTTTTCCGTAGTCTTAAAAAATCTTAGCTACCACTCATTTATTTTTTCAGGCCGTGGGAGCCCTGAATATGAACAATTTTTGATGAATATGAAAGATATTAAGAAGATTTTTTTAAAAGTACATAAAAGATTATATTAGCAGGGGTAATGCAAATTTTGCATGGGTAAAATGAATACCAATTTCTAAAAGTCTCAAACATGATCTTTCAGATTGTACCATCCTATTTAGGTTCAAGCCTATTTAGGTTTTGTAAAATCTTCCAAAAAATTCGCTGCTAAAAGAAAGATTGTTTACATAGAGTTAATATAGAAGTGTTTCCATTATTTTGTTTGAAAACCACCTGTAAATATAATAAAAAGTTTTTTTTTACTGTGTTCTTTATGAAAATTACTTTTGTTAACTCACTCAATATTTTTAAAATTTCTAATAATTTTTTCGTAATAAAAAATATTTTTGTATTACTCAATATTTAAACATATTCACTTGCTCTAATTAGAATTTTATACCTTTCAATATGTAAATATATTAGATTGCTGCAATTAATGCAATTTTTAATACTCATTATATTTATAAAAAAAAAGGAAAACATTTTAAGTTAGTTACTTTAAATCTAAGTTAGAAAAAAAAAAAGAGGAAGATCTCACTTACGCGAGGTCGCTGTGTCGTAACAGTTGGTCGCATGTTGAAAGATGAAACACGTAAACATAAACTGCCGACTTAATCGGTTTGGGATACATTTAAGTGTTCTTTATATTTTAAACATATGTTGACAGAATGAATCAAAAATGTTTCAGAACACCGGAACACAAAAAATGTAAGAAAACATTTTTTGTTTTGTTTCATTCATAAGAAACCGGTTGCTGATAATAAAATCTTGAGATTACTCTAAAGAAAGCACAATTCTTATCAAGACTTTTTTTTCACTAAACAGTTTAATTATGATTCTTAAATGAGAAAAAAAAGAAAGGGAAATCACTTCTCAGAAAAGTTGACGTATGCCTTAGGAGAATTCACACTTATGGCCTATTTATGTAGGCAAGTTCCGTTGTGAAATTTATGACTTACAAGTCTGAATAAGAACCATTAACACTCTTACGGATCTTGCTTTTCATCGTAACAGTTTTAATTTCTCCTATTACGATAGATATATATGAAAAATATACGAATTTTTAAAATTCGATTTTTCAGGAACTATTCGGCCGATTTCACTGCAATTTTGTATTCTGCCATGAAAAATTATATATTTTAAAATAATGTAAAAACATTTTATACCTTACAATTCAAACTTTCTCGACTATTATTGAAAAAAAAAATTATTAATATTTACTACAACTCATTTTTTGCAAAGAATTATCTTTGGATAAACGAAATTTATAATTGTGTGCAAAAGTATTTGAACTCGCTTTATAAGTTCTCAAGATATGGCGTAATGCGCAATGAGTTAAATTAACATCCAAACTTTGGATCGCTCTCCTGAGTCCTGCTTGACCAAAGTATGGGGACCATAGTTCCCAGATTGAAGCTACCCCCTATATTTTTGGGATCAGAAATCTGGATCTGTTGAAAAAAATGTATGTTTATTCAGAAAGTACGTTTTTGTATCCTGATTTCGTAAACTTAAAATATCGTTTGCATTAATCATTTCGCATATTTGAGACCCTCCCCCTTTGAACCATTAAGATTGAGTCCTAGGAAGCGAAGATCTAATCAATAGGATCAAAAGTTATTTAGGGTGATCTGTTTTTTTTAGCGCAGTGTACATTGTACCAATTTATAATTAATCTACACGATATTGATTTTTTTTTTCAATCTTTAAGAAAAGCAGCCATATTTTTTATTTCACCTAGCTATCTACCACCAAAGAGATTTATTTCTATTAATACCATTTAAATATATAATTTTGTATATTTATAATCATTGTTTTACTTATACCCATATGCATATAATCATTGTATACATATTTTCTACGCTTGCTATTCTCAGCAATAATAATATTTGGAAAAAAATAAATAATTTTGAAATTAATAAATTTTTTAAAAGTGAGGTCAGTATTAAATCCGTAAAACTAAATAGAAGGAGATGGGCAGGGCGTCTAACAAGAATAAGCTTAGAGTAAACAGCATTGAGGGTTTTTAATACGACCCCTTCCAACAAATGACCAAGAGAAAGACCCCAAAATAGATGGCTCAGGGGATAGAGCGTTCCCCTTCCAATGAGGTGAACCAGGTTCGAATCCTAGCGATGGCTGGTCGATACGAATTCTGCATCCGGCTTGCACGGACAATAATGCTGACGTAAAATATCCTCAGTGGTAGGCGGATCATTGGTTAGAGGCCCCTTGCCGTCAGGCAAACCGAAGGAGGATTTCGCAGTTTTCCTCTCCATGTGACGCAAATGCGGGTTAGTTCCATCAAAAATTCCTCACCGAAGGCAAATTTTCTTCCAATACTCGGCTCAGGAGTTCCCTTGCCTTCCGGATTGTACATATTATATATATCTGCCATATATGGTTAAGGANGTAGGTTGAAAAATTATGGTTTGAATATATATATATATATATAAAATAGATGGAAAGACTTGGTGGATGAAGACTTCATCATCCTGAAAGTGAAGAACTAGAGATCAATTTTTGGGAGTAGAGCAGACTGGAAAAGATTCTAAGGAAGGCCCAGGCCCACGAAGAGTTGTTGTGCCAATACGGCTGATGATGATTGCTTATTTTGGATGGATAAATTATGTTCGTATAAAATAATTTAATTCTTCACTGGTGAAACCTTGAAGAAAAGTTGCAATGTAAAATTCATAGGTTATTGTTAAAGATTAAGTAAGAACAGTTTTCATTCTTAGCTAAAAGTTATTTAAATAAAAACAATTTCATGAAATCTTTTTCCTATTGTTTATTATGTTATTTTTTTCTTTTGTTTTTCTACTGTAAGATACATCTTGCAAACCTCGTTAGTCATTTACAGATATCTCGCAGAATGATATAAAACTGATTTTACTCTCAATAGTTATGCATAGCAAAACTTATAATAGTTGAGGCAAATTTTCCGAAATTTTGAAAAGTACTTCAAGATATTTATTACAAAAATTAAGTACATTTTTTACTAACTAGTCATCGTGAATGCGAGTGTATCTCTGTTTTTTTACCATCCAATAACCTCGTGGTCAGAAATAGGATTTTGGAACATAAAAGATGCGAAGAAGTGGAAAAGTCTGCATGATTTGAATATTAAATACATCTAAGAATGTTTATACTTTTCATGTGTATGAATGAGAGTAAAAAAACCTCTTTCGCAAATTCACAATTATTGCGGATTACTGCACTGTATAAGTGATTTAGCTACAAAGATATTTCATTTTATTTTATAACCGTATTTGAACTAGCCGACCCAATTTCGGGCTTACGACTGCCAATGTTCAACTCCATAGCCTTGTGTTAATTTTGAATCCAATCCAGAAGACAAGGGAACTCCTGGATCAAGTATTGGTAGAAATTCACCTTCGTGGAGGACTTTTGATGGAACTAACCCGCATTCGCGTTACATGGTAAAGAAAACCACGAAAACCTCCTACGATTAGCCTGACGGCAAGGGGACTCTACCCATGATCCGTCTACCACTGAGAATATTTTTCGTCACCACTGTGGTCGGTGCAAGCCGGGTGCGGAATTAAAATTGACCAGCCATTGCTGGGATTCTAACCCGGTTCACCTCTTTGGAAGGCGAGTACTCTATCCCCTGGGCCACCACGGCCCCAAATGAGATATTGTAACATATTATAGAGATTTGAAAACTTGGAAAGAAAATAGGTATTTTGAGAAATTATTATTTATCCTAGTTTGATAAATTATGCCCGATTTGAATGCTTCATTTGTGAAACTTTGAAGAAAATGTGGCCCGTTATATTCATAAATTATTTAAGTAAGAATTTTTTTATATTCGTATCTTAAAACCATTTAAATAAAACAAATTTCCTCAAAATTTTATCCTTTTGTTTTTAATGTATTATACTTTTTGTTTTAATAATGGTTTTTAGCTGTTTATTTTCTCTCGAAAGATATTTATTGTTATGTTTAAGACACTTTAAAAGTTTGTTCAATAACTCTTTCTAAACTCATTTGTCTTTATAGTAAGTAGATAAATATATAATTTATAGTTAGAAATATATCTAGAATGTAGGTTGAAAAATTATGGTTTGAATATAGCTGAACAATAGTGTAAACTCTATTTAGAATATAGGTAGATTAATTTGTAAGTAGTAGTCAGACAGAATATCGATAGACAAATGTGTTGATTTTAATTGAAAAACAGAGAGAAAAATCTGTAAGTTATAGTTACAATATAGTTAGACAAATGCGTATCTTATATAGTTAAAAAAACATTTTTAATCAGTCCTATTCAGTTTCTGATGCACTCTTCTTACCTTCTTTTATAACCTTGACTGGTGGTGACACCAATGTGATTTTTGACGTTATTACATCCGTCTATTTTTTATTTGGGCCACCCTTATACTTTGCACCTTAGACAAATATATTTAATCAAAATCGGAATAAAATAATGACATATAAAAATTTTTTAAAAAAATAACTTTATTAATAAATTCATAACATTGTACATATTTATGTATAAAATATTTATCTGGTAAGATGCATCCACCATCAAAAGTAAACAAACATTCAGAATAAAATAAAAAATATGAACATTTTTAAAATTTTGGAATGCTTTCATAAGTCAAAATGCTTGTAAACAGCACTGGAAAAATAGACATACGAATATATGATAGTGTTTCACATGACACATTTTGAACACTTAAACAGTTCATAATGGACGGATAGTTTAGCTATAATGCATTAAAGGTACAAATTAATGAAAATGAATGACTTTAAGGACAGACTGAGTTAACTTATTAATTAAACAGCTTAGAGCAATGTAATGATAAGCTACATTTTCAAACTGTTTTTGGTAAAAAAACACTATGAAGGAATAAGATGTTTCTATTTAATGTGCTGTCATCAAATGGAAATTTAAAAGGTATTTATCTGGAAACATTACTAAGAAACAGTTTGATGTAAAAATCATTTTTTACTCCACAAACAAGAGAAAATGACAATTCATATTAACATGAAACACAGTAAAATAGAAAAAAGCCAAAGTCTTATAAAATATCTAACGCTTCAATATCTTTTCACTTCAAAGCCTCCATTATAATAAATGCAATTACTGATGACTGAACTATTTTCATTGCATTATTTTACTATAAGAACAAAGCCACAGCATGCAAAGGAAATACTTTAATATATTTTTGAAGTCCTAAAATGTTTTTCATGTTTCAATTTTGATATATCCGTCTTTTTATCATTTCTTAAGGTTCCATTATCTATTTATTATTTTTTTTAATTGAAACAGGTACTAAAAAGAAAGTGAACAAAAACTATTTTTTGAGGTGTCAACTATTGCTTAGTTGACACCTTAAAACAGTTTTGAAAACTCAAAACTTTTTCTCTTTTTCAATTTTGATGTATGAATCCTTTAATCCTTCCTTTAAGTATTACAAAAAGCTTTTTGATTGAAACTGCAAAAAAATTTCAAGTGCACCAAAATTGTAGCAGAGGGTAACCTTATGACTTTTATCCATAAACTAATTATATACTTGTTTTCAAATATTTGATTATATCTTCTCAAAAAAAGCCCAGTTTAAAATTATATCAAAGGGTAATTCAAAATTTTCAGATAAGTTCATCAGTATCATTCAAGTCTGGGGAAACAGCCTCTTTTCTGTCAATAACTTTAATGTCTTGTGGGAAATAGGCCTGAAACATAAATTTGAGTTAATCATTTGATAAAAGATATCAAACTACAAAACTATATAAAACAAAAAACAAGGAGAAAAAAAAATTCTATATTAGCAGTATAAAAAAAAAGAAGCATAAAATAAGAAGATCGCAATAATGACAAATTTCTAAGTCTCCATCAAAATGGTAATGTTAAAGACGTAATAATTGTATTTTTATAATAAATTAAAAATTTCTTCCACAATTACCAAAATTTTTTTTTTTTGCTGTTTTAGTGAGCAATATTATGCAAACAAGGTTTTAATGAATCAAGACATTTTGATTCATTTCCAGTATCAATAAAGAAAAGTAAAAAACAAATATTCTTTATTTGTAAAAATTTTAACCCCTTTTTTTTTATAAGTAATGCATGTGTGACCGCTGGCTAAGTTATCTTCCACCTAACAAAATTTTTTTTACCATTTTTAGAAGCTCTGCACACAATTTCTAATCAGTAAAAAATATCAGATTTGTTTTAATAATCTCCTTTCTCTCTCTCTTTCTCTCCAAAAAAAGGGTAAAACTATTTTAATGACGAGTGATTTGCATTAAAAGCAAGTTTTACATATGATACTCTTTAAAGAAAAAAAACAAGAAATTTTTATGTTTCATAATTTTCACTAGATGGCAGTACTTATATGGTAAAGACTCGCTTCAAAATAACATACATTTTCAAACCCGAAAAGGCGTCTTTTCTCCTAACCCTCTTCATTTCTTGACAATTTACAATTGATACTCAGGGGCTCTACCATGAGCTATCAGAAATGGAATGGAGATTCCCGACTGGAAAGTAAAACTGATAAAGTTTGGTTCTAGTAACGTTCAATATTGTAACACAAACTTGGAGATAAACATTCCCCGATAGCTGGTTCAAAAGACTTAATTGAAATTTAACCAATCACACGATTTACTTATTATTTTTTTAAGTGTGGCAACTTAAGCTTGAATAAAACAAAACTGAATAAATTTATAAGATTATGAAATTAATTTATGATATTTACATAATATTTTTTACTATTTATTGCTTTTTTATATTAATATTTGCTTTCAATAGACAAAAATATATTTATTGTAAATGCTATAACTATTATATATATATAATTTTCCTTATTAAAAGATGTCATATAATTTATCATGTATTATTCATATAATAAAATCATTTTTTCTTTAATAAATATGTTTTTAAAAAGTAGAACTTTAAAATAATGCTTATATTTTGATGCTTAAGAAAAATGTTAAGTTTTGCACCTGAGTACTGCATGTCGATAGATCATTAAATATACTTGCTCTTAAATCATGACTAATTAACACAAAGAAATCAAATTTTCTCGGAACAAAAATAAATGTTCACATAATGGTCTTTTAGAAATTAATTAATTGAATTTCAGAAAAGTTCATTAGTTTTACTTATTATTTGTAAGAATATGACTAAAGTCACTACTTTATACTTATTACTTTGTTTTATTTGTTTCACTATTAAAGTGACTGTTAATGCTGATAGTTAAATAAATATACACGCAGAAAACTGCATTAATTTGGTGATTTATTTAAAATTATTTTTCGTGATTTATACATATAAAACACTTACAAAAGTATAGTTCAAGGAGCAATTTTCACAGCTTCTATATTTATATAGTTTAATGGAAGAATAAGAATAATTTTTTGTAAAATAAATAAAAGAAGAAACAAATATTCATATCATAAATATTTTTCTAAAAATCTTTATTCTAATTATTTTTCCCATTATTCTTATTCACATCTTCTATAGTAAATAAATTGTTTTCTTCATAATACATCTCTGTAACAAATTCTGTTAACTGTGCTGCCATCTGTGCATCATATAAAGAAACATAATTTGGAATGAAGTGAAAATACTGTCGAATTAAAAATTCATCAATAGAGAATTATAAAAAAATTGATTTGGACTTCAAAAGAAATATGGCTAGGGAATATATCACAAAACAAAAAAATAGTAACAATTTTAATTTCTTAGTTAACTCTAAAAGTATCCAATGAAACAAAATGTTTCTTTTTCAATTATAGTCCTAAAAATTGTTCAAGCACGTTGTTCTTTTAGGAATATTGTTTGCAGAATAGAAAAAAATTAAGAAAATTTATCCACCTCATATCATATTTAGTCAACAAAAATCATTATTCCATGTAAGAATGAGTAAGTAGCTATCAACTAGAAAAAAAAAATCCAATTGAATTTACTGACAAGAAACAGTGTTCAGCAGGAGGTTTATGGTGCTAAAAAAGAAATTCCCGCCTCATGTGACGTTATTCCTTGATGTAGCTTCGGGTGCCAGAACCGCAAAATTAAAAAAAACTTTTTTTTAAAAAACCCCCGGTTACCCCATGTTATTTGAGTGGTGATTAGTAGGTGGTTAATGCTTGGAAGGAGCCAGGTACTCAATGCTTGAAAGGTTAAAATTAATGTTTACTGTTATCAATGACATTAATAGGTATTGCGCTTAATTTCATTTTCTTCTTGCAAAAACTTGACATGTCACGCAAACTTATTCAAACATTTCTCTTGTAGTTATTTCTACCTTTCAGAAAGTTTAAAGCTATATAATTCAACAATTTGTAGGTAAAAACATTTTATTCTAGATATTTATTTCAGATCAAAATAATTGTTCAAAATAAAAAAGAGGTAAATATGCCAGTTTATTTATTTTTTCTTAAAATTGCTATTTTAACATTAAGTATACTATTTGCTTATAATGAAAAGCATACTATAATAAATCATAAACTATCTAAGAATTCAATAACTAAAATTACTTACCTTAATGCAAATGTAGGTATTTTAGCATTGAATACAATGTACAGATGAAAGTTACTTTGCTGAAGAACATAGCACTTATTTTCCTTTAAAGACATATAAAATTCTTGAGGTTCGGAGTTCTTAAATTCAATTTCCCCATAATCAAATATTGGGCCTAAATGAATACAGACATATAAATTAGAGGAATTTTTCTCAAAAGCATGATATAAACATAAATATATGAACTTGTTATATATGGATATAGTAAATACTTATTTGTTTTTAAATAAATCTTTATTTTATCAAATATTTAATTTGAATTTTAACATTTTAATCAAAGATATATACTGATATAGTAAACACCAATTTGTTTTTAGTTAATTTTCTTTTGATTTTTTTTTATAAATTTCTTTTTAAATAAATCCTTATTTTATCAAATATTTTACTTAAATTTACTAATGTAAATTAAATAATTATTATAAAGCTTAAATGCTGTTTAATATATTTGTTTACTTACAAGTGTTATCAGCTCTTAATTTTGGATCCATATTTGGGTTTTTGTTTTTGAAATATGTGCCGATTACAAGCTTGTATAATGTTCGTATTGCTTCTTGTTGCTCTTGAAGGTTTGGAACTTTTGTTGTTTCTGATGATTCAGAAGGATCAGGTTTAAGTGGAATGAAAGAACAAACTGATTGGTTTGTCTCAGTATTAATTAAAAGTAAACTGAAAATATAAAAAAATTACATTGAATATCGAAGAAACATTTTGAAACCAATATTAACAAATGAGTTATAACTTTACAACTAAAATGAATAAGTAGAGTAAACATTTAAGAACCATAATTCACAAATAGTTTATAACTGCAAAACTTAAACGAATGGGAAAAGTAACATTTAGGAGCTACAACTAATAGATTATTTTTAACTATAAAACTTCAATGAATGAAATACATGAACAAATTACAGTTAACAAATAATTCATAACTTTAAAATTTAAAAGAATGAAAAACTAAGCATTTATGAGCTACTGTTAACAAATTATTTAAATCTTCAAATTACATTTCAAATGAATGGGAGAAGTTAACATTTAATAATTACATTTAAAGGACTACTTTTAACTTTAAAATTTAAATGAATGAAAGAAATAAACATTTATGATATAAATCCATAGTTGACAAATTATTCATCATTATAATGTTACGTGTAATGCGAGAAGTGGAAGTTTAAACTCAAACAAAATTTAATACAATGATTTAATTTAAGTAATGTACTCTTTTTTTTTCTCCTTCTTTTTTTGCCATTTTGCAACTTTAAAGAGCGTAAAATAAACCCATTAAACAGGTTTTTCCTCCTCTCTTTTATCTCCTATTCTACATTGAATGAAATTATATTTTCTTTGTTTGACTTCTCTAGTCTGAAACTTTTTATTCTGTTCCAACAAATTTATTTATCTCACTAGTTTTATTGAGGTAAACAATAACATCATCTTGGTGATATTACATATTTTTTTAATTTAACAAAATTATTTGTATATTATTTTTAAAATTAACAAAACATTACAAAATATAGTAAATGGAAAGGAGTATATTGAGAAGAAGAACTACACTAAGTATGCAAGCCATAAAAAAAGTTTGTTTGAAAAATTTTTTAACATTTAAAAAAATTGAACTGTTATTTTAAAAAAAGAAGAAAAAAATTCAAATTAATTTAACACACCAAAAAAAATTTGAAAACTACTTTTATAACTGCTTTAAAAAAAATAGATATTCCTACGATTTAGCCATTATTTCTTTTCAAATTTCATATTTTTACTACAACAATTAAATTTTTATAAACAGAATTTCTGAGACAAACCTCATTGAAATCAACCACTGTCTTTAACCTTTAAGTTCAACTACTTTCTGTTGACTAGTAGTTTTTCTGGATACAATTTAAAATTGTGAAAGTTCAACTTTGACACACCTATAGTAGTATTTCAGAACTTTTCTAAAACTAAAATTTCAAATATTCCCATGGTTACTTTCTGTAGTAAATTTATGTTCGGTTTTAATCATGTTAAAATTCTACAGGCAATTAAATTTAAATATGCATCAAGATCCATAAAAACTTTTAAACCAATATAATTTTTTTATTCAGTAACATCAATTTCCTTCTTTTATTTAGCTCACAACATTTCATATTTTAAACATCATATAATTTCATTTCTAACAATAAGGAAGTTATAATAATTGAAAAATAATTATGTTATACCTTTGAATGTTTTCATCGAATTGAAATGTGGAGGGAATGTTTCTGGGATGAAGATTAGCAATCACTTTTAATACATCAAAACACTCTCTCCAAACCTTTGGTGCCTAAAAATTTAATAAGAAAAAAAAACAATTTTAAAATAATAAAAAATAATTTGTTTGCACCTCAGTCATGAGGCATAATATAACCATAAAATTATCAATAAAATTTTTTGGAAAAATATGCTCAAAAATAGAACAGCAATGGAATAACTTATAAACAGTTTAAAACAGTCTCTTATTAATTTAAAATTAATTGCTATTTTAAAAAGGTCTACAGTTTCAAATTCTCTAGAATGATGAATTCTCTACAAACGAAGTTATTAAAAATATTTTGTTGTTAACCATATTAGATTTAAAAAAATTAGTTTGACAAAAGAAAGTAAAACTTTTAATGGATACACATCCTTTATTCTAGAAAACTTTTTGTGATATTCATGTTATAACATAAACATTTACACTAAACATAAACACAAGCAACATCATCACATAAACATTTGTTATATTCACGAAAATTTCAGACATTATTGCAGATGAGATTCAAATAAAAATATAAAGATATTTTCCTTCACCATAGTTTCAATAAAATAAAATGCATATTCAAAAATTTATTACTTTACCCAATCACCATACAGGCATGTAATAAGACATTTTATAACTATAGAAAAATCCAAATACAGTAAAACCTGTCTATAACGATACTGTAGGGACCTAAATAAAATATTGTTATAGGAAAATTATCGTTATAGACAGGCTTGAAATTTAAAAGTATGCGTTTAAAACTAATGATAAATTAAACTTCTTTTATAGGCTCCAAATGAAAATTTTACTTAGAATTATGAAACAGCACACAAGAAAAATTTACTTACAATTTTATGAATCAAAACAGAAATTANTACTTATTTTGAAATTAAGTGATTAACTTTAGAAAATCATTCAATAAGAAACAATCTTCATTTGATTTGGAGTTTCCTTGATATTTATTTAGTGCAGAGTCAGAAATAAAGTCTGTAAACATTACCCGGTAATGAACACTAGTTTGTCGTTCAATAACGTAAAGGTTTTTGAATAACAATGAAATTTCAAATATGAATTTCAAACTGGTGAGTTAATGTGAAGATAATGAGTTTTACTTCATTCAAACTAGAAATATTACCATCAAATTGCCGTTTATTCGGGTGTTTAAGTCAATATCTCAAAGCCACAAAAATCAGGGAGTCAATTTATACACCGATAATAAAGTCAGATATTCGTTGATCGCAAAATATCGATGCACATGAGATAAATATGAATAACTCTGTATCTTTTCAAAAATGATTGTTAATATGCTATAGTCCATTAATTTTACATTTTCTCTCGTAATTAGTTTTACATTTTCTCTTTGCATATAAGTGTTTCTTTCAGAAACAATGCTTTAAATTACGTTCAGAAAAAAAATTAAAATATAAAAATTTTAGATAATTTATTTGAGAGAATTTCAAAAAATATAACATAATAAAAACTTTTAAACCCTACCATACAGCCACAAATTTAAAGATTTCAGAACATCATCTTAATTGGAATCAATAATGTTAGCAGTGTCCTCATATGTATTCCACTTTGCAATAGAATCTACTTTACACTCATCAACTGAGCTCTACAAAAAATCGTATTCACCCAATACAAAGAATTCTTAATTCCACACTTTTAAAAAATTTTTACAACAACATTGATTCCACATTTGGTAATGCCTCCAGCATAATTTAACACATGAAGTCAATAGGAGCAGCACAAACAAAGCATTTGTTAATGCCTCTTTGAGGATGTGTCTCATAGCATATTTGACAGAGAGCAAATGTATCAAATCTAGAGAACAATGTGAAATATTTGTTGACTTCAGAAAATTTTGAAAAACAAATAATTTTTTATGTTTTTGGAATTTTAGAAATTTTTAAATGTGTTTTTTTTTTTTTGTTTGACTTATACCCACAACATAGGAACTGGAAATTTGCTATCTTGTAACTAAAAATAAAAGGTCGATTTATACACCAAAATATAAATACTGATATGTATTAACTTGCCAGATTATTTTTCAAATAATAATAATAACTACTAACCTCATCTTCTAAAACAGAGAGTGGAGGTTCAGCTGAGCATAAAACACAGACTTCAACATCTCTCAACAAATGTAATGTTACTAACCTATTTGTACTCTAGAAAAAATATAATAAATAAATTGATAATATATTTTATCCTGATTTAAACATAATTGGTTCTGAGCATTTAAAATTAAATTTTTTTTCTTCCTAAATCTAAAAAATCTATTTTGATGAGTTATATGGTTACTTTAAATGAGCTGACTGAAAATTAAACAAATAAATAAACAATATTTTGATTTTGCTAAAAAAAAAAGTCCATTCTTTTAACAATTGAGGGTCAAAGATAATATTAATCCTTTTTATTCAAAAAAAAATTCTTAGGAAAAATTATTAATCTTTTATTATTAATTAAAATTATTGAACTTTTCCCCAAAAAAACATTTTGGGGAAAAGTTCCTGTTTTGTATCAAAGTTCTTCTAAGAGCAGCAAAAGAAAATAATATTTAATAATCAATTTTCATTGTGTTTTAACTTAAATTATTTCAGTTATAGTCTCTATATCCATAGAAAACCAATTTCTACTAATAGTTTGGGCATTATTAAATTAAAAGTTTAGAAATAAATGAAAAGGAAAAAGTGCTATATTAACTTTTGCATACAAAACCTTAAATATTATGCAAGTTTCTGTTTAAAAAAAAGTAAGCTTCAAAGCTTAAGCTTTAAAGAGATTTAAGCTTTTAAAATAAAGCAACACTGTTTATATTATGGTGGCAGAGTGGTAGAGCTTCGAGCTCCCATGCCACAGGTCATGGGTTCTATCCTCAGGCCGGGCATGGTTAACTGAGCCTTTCATCCCTTCTGTGGGTTGATAAAATGAATACCAAGTATGCTTGGGGACTAAACACAGGGGATCCTGCATTTGGCTGACCACCCAACAGGAAGATCTACTCCTGCTCCTCAGAGCCCAAGGTAAAGGAAATTGACACAATAGGTTTTGGCCGTCTAAGGACTGTTTTTTTTTAGCAGGTTTAATTATAAGTTTATAATAATTTTTTAAAAAGTCATTATGCAATATACCTACTTTTATATTTAATACTAAATACAAAAAAAAAAAAAAATTTCCTTGAAAGCACATAAAATATTCAAAAGAATAATTAAAACAGTAAAATATCAATTATGATACAGCTAATTTTTCTAATAACTTTGAATTTATATTAATAGAAGCACAGCAAATATAGCTAGCAACTTTGTAAATAATATTATAAATAATTATAATATTGTTAAATAAGAGATAATAACAATAGAACATTTTTACTTAACAAAGATAACTTACATGAGGAGAAGAAGTGGGTAAAAAAATGACAGACTCTCTGGATAGTACTTTTGGCAAACAGTTCACGTATGCACACAACAAAACTTTTTCTTGACTAGTTAATGTCCACCATTCCTTAGAAGCTACAATCACTTTTCCTTTTATTAACAAACATCCATATAAACTGTCAGCTACATGCAAAAATTTTGTAAGGCATTCCTATGACCAGAAAAAAAATAGTGAAAGTTAGTAGTGAAAATACGTGAACTATAATGAGTTGAAAAATAGTTTAAAATAAGAATTTCTCTAAATTTAGAAAGTTTCGCTTTTAAGCAAGAGTTTTTTTAAAGAAAGTTTTAAGTCGTGTCGACTGTATCCTGTCAATTTATCAACTGATTCCAAAAAATGATTCAAATTTTCTTTTAGAAAGAACAGTTTCAATTGCTTCATAAGTAAAGAAAGTATTTGCAAGTGAAATTTAAGAAATATTTTAGCTCTGCATAACTTCACCTGTAGATATGAAATTCAGCAATATCAATTTCATAGAACAACCTATGAGTGTGAGGGAGAAATAACTATCTATATTGAACAAAGGATCAATATAAGTAGTCATTTCTTATTTCTTAGGAAAACATTCACATCCGTGAGGTAAAGAAAACTCTATTCATAGAGTACAAAAAAAAGTTATATTATTTCTAGTAATAAACTCTTCTTCTTCAATACACTATATATACATATATTCTCTTTCATTTGACTGCTGTTATGCTGCAATCATCAACACAGACCTGCCAACTTTTAATCCCTTCCATTATCATTTTTCCCAGTGGTATTAAAATGGAATTAAAACTTCAATTTTAAGCAAACAAATGCGTTGTATTTGAAAAAAATTAAGTTGACAACCATGATAGTAACGCATAATAATATATAAGCTTAAGTTTTGTAAGAATAGTGGTGATCAAAATCATTTAAAAANATTTCTTAGGAAAACATTCACATCCGTGAGGTAAAGAAAACTCTATTCATAGAGTACAAAAAAAAGTTATATTGTTTCTAGTAATAAACTCTTCTTCTTCAATACATTATATATACATATATTCTCTTTCATTTGACTGCTGTTATGCTGCAATCATCAACACTATAACAAAGCATTAAAAGAACCTACTCTTATAAAAGTAGAACTATATCTGTTTTCCTACCTGTCAGACAGGTAATATTTTCTGCTCACATTATAAATATAGAACTATGAATGATCAGTTTCCTTACCTGTCAGATGTGAAATATTTTCTGCTCACATCAAAAATATTTTTTTTCTTCAAAGAGTAATGAAATTCAAGTTCAACTTAAGCAGGTTCACATTACTTTAAAGTATTATATCTGTATACTATTTGAAGGGGAATCGAAACTTAGTTCACAAGAAGCGTGTTCATGCTAACAAAGTTTGACTATATATATAGTTAGATTGTACCCGCATACATTTTAACCACTGAGATTAAAAGTATAATATTTTCCTTTTAAAAAACAGCTGCGACCATTATTTACCTTAAAATTATTATTATAAAAAAACAATGGTAGATAAATACACAAAATAGATTATATATATTTTATTGGACATTTGAAATGTATTAAACGGAAATTCCTGAGCCATTATAAGATGTTTTCGTTCTAAAAACAAAGAAAATCATGTTATATCTTGAATATGGCACATTAAGAGTATTTTAATTTTTCCGATGCATCATAAATTACACTTACAATGAAAAAGAATTGATTATAAATTAATTATTGAAACCTTAAGTAAAGTTATGTAGAAGGTAACTCAGATTTACCATTAAAATGTGAGTTTCAGGTGCTAACATACAGTCAGTTGTTCTAGTCAAATCGCCAATATTACCCTTTTCCAAGTCTATCTGCTCCAAGAAATAATTTATCAAGCAGCTACAATTCTATAGTTAATAATAAAAAAATATTTAACAGAAATATGTAAATGATGATATAAGTTTAAGAAAATCAAAATATATGGACAGATTCCATAAACATAAAACTCATTCTTTAAGTCCAGCAACTGTGAAGAGGACACCATACCAAGGAAGAAAACTTTCCACACAAATTCTCTTTCTCCTTCATTATTAATTTAAAATTTGTAGCACAGAAAAAGTGAGTTCAAACAAACCTAGAATAAGCCATGAAGTTTCAAATACTGAAAAGAAAATTTTAAAATATGCAAATGAAAATAAATTATGAGATGATAACTTCGGAGTACGCAATGAAGAAGTTCTCTTCTGGTAATAAAGGTCATTTGTTTGCATTTTAATATATTGAAGCATTTTTTTCAGCTATTGAATCTTCATAACTTACTCAAGGTTTGCCTGAACTTACTTTTTTTTACTTTTAAATTAGTTATGAAGGAGAGAGAGAATTTTTGATTAAACTTGTTTTCCGTCGTATGGCATGATCTTAAGCTGTTTCAAATAAATCAAAGTCTGCAATATTCATGATTTTTTAAAAATATTTTTTTATAACATTTGCCAACCATAGTTTAATTAAATATACTAATAATACTTAATATTATTTATAAACAATAATAAAATTAAAGTCATTTACATTTCTAATTTAAAATTATTGTAAACTAATCACTTACATTAATGCTTTTATTCAACATCAACACCTCATAAATTTATAAAGATAGAGATCCAATTTGTCAGTTAGACATTAGAATAATAATTTAAATCAGAATAAATTACCTATAAATCAGAAAATATTTTTTAAAAAAATCTCTTTTTCTAAATTACTCTTGAAACAACAATTTTTTACTTATTTATTTACTCTACATATAAGTAGTTAGGGATGTAATGCTTGTAATGGACACTTATTACATACATTCATTTTTTTTTATTTTATTTTATAAATGTCGTTTAACAGCTGACCCAATTTTGAGTTTAGAACTACCAATGTTCCACTTTGTAGCTTTGTAATTTTACACCAAATTTAGAAGACAAGGGAACTGGATCAAGAATTGGAAGAAACGTGCCCATGTATAGGATTTTTTTGATGGAACTAACCAGTATTTGTGTTACATGGAGAGGAGAACCACAAAAACATCCCACGGTTAGCCCGACTCTGACCAATGATCCCTCTGCCACTGAGGATATTTTATGTCAGTCCTATGGTTGGTGCAAAATTTGTATTCACCAATCATCACTGGAATTCAAACCAAGGTCGTCTCATTGGGAAATGAACGCTCTTTCCCCTGAGCCATTACAGCTCGCTTATTACATATATGTAATAAGATTTAAAAGCATTCATATTTTATTAAAATGGTTATGATTGACTTATATTTAATATTTTTGCATTTTTAATATTTGTCATGAATAATATTTTATATATAATATAATGGCAAATTAGCTTTACATACAGCCAAAAGAAGGTAAAAAATTTAAAAGCTTTGCAATTTTCTTCCCCATTTAGTCTCTTTTCCTTTTACTCTATTTTGACCAACAAATAATTATTTACATACATTACTCCATCTCATTATTTTTCTGTAAAAACATTTAATATCAATAAAATTAGACTTTAACAAAATCACCACAAAATGCATTTATAAATACTGTATAAAAATATTTCTGACTTAAATCAATGTTTTGTTCTTTTAAAACAATCAGGTGATTTAAATAAGTGTTTTTTTATATTTAAAATCAAATTATTCAAATCCCAAAAAATTAATGGCCACGTTGCAACAAACCTTTAAATATTTTTTAGATTATTATTCTTTTCACCTAAAAAGAACTTGAATAACTAAATTAGCATTAAGAACATGTTTGAAAAATATTGTATCAGATGTAACCTTACTGTTAATGCTTTTTGAAGTCTCATTACTTCCCCTTGTTTCAGGATCAAGTCAAATCCAATAATCATAGCAATTGCAGCAAACATATTATCCAACAGGTTTGACATATGACAGTCATGAAAGCTATCATTTTTCGTAATTAAAATTAAAACAAGCCTATGGAAGAATAAAAAATAAAAAAATTAACCAATTTTATAACAAAATAAAAAAATTAATAAAAATTTTTTTTTTAAGCTTTTTAATTCATGCAGCATTATTAGACAGAATTTAATGAACATCAAGCAAACTGAAGAAAGAAAAAAAAAAATGTTTTTTTAGTAAGTTTAAATGTGTAATTAGTAAGTTTAAATGTCTAATAAAATGTGTAATTAAGCACACATTATAATTTTCATTTAATCTAATATTTTTAAATCTACTCCTAACAGCAGACATGAGATTAAAGAAAAAGAGAAAAAGAACAAAATATATACATAAGAATGCATTTGTAAAAGAATGAAGAATACAATTTTTGTACAACAAAATTATTAACTTATGAAATAATTTTGTATATTTCAAATGTTTAAATGCTGTTTTATAGAGTAATTACTATCAAAATTATTCTATTACTTCATATTACTAATGATTTACAATAAATTTGATGAATTTTTAACAAGAACATGTCTGCCAACTTTTATACACTTTTCATAATAATAGTCTAAAAATTCGTTATAATCATATAACAGTGTAACAAGAACTGGTAAAATTTAAAAAAAAAAAAATTTCTCTCTACAAGTGTAATTCAAATGTCACTTCATTACCATTTCATTTGGATAAAATCATTACTGGAAAGATCATAGCAAGAATGATTTGTTACTAAAATAAATACAAGTCAGCCCTGTGGCAGAATTTTTTCGAGCTTTCTAATTTTTCAAGTTTTAACTAAAAATTAAATTATAATCCAAAAATAAAACTGTTAATGAAAAACTAATGATAGAAACCACAATTTAATCAGCACAACACATAACTTAACAAAAAATAATTTTCACAGCATTAATATTTTCCTTTTAAAGTGTTCCGATTAGGTGGTCAGCCGAACGCGAAACCCTCAGTACTCATTTATCAACCCACTGAAAGAATGAAAGGCTGAGTCAAACTTGCCCGGCCCGAGGATGATTAAGAGTAAAAGCTAGATATAAAAGCTAGATATAGCTTCTACAATTTCATGAATTTTTTTTAGAGAAATAAATTTTTCTGCTGTTTAAGTAACAATATTGTATGAAAATGAAAGATGTTTCTGCTATTTTCTGGTAACAATACAGGAAAGCGAAAACCAAACATCAATTCCTGCTTTCAATTTTCACCTCTAATTTTTATAAAGCAATGAGTGTGAGACCACTGGCTAAGTTTTATGGCCGAACAATGGGAAAGTTCTTCTTCTATTTTTAGAAATTCTGTCACATACTTCAAAAGTATGCATTCTTTGTTAACCACGTACCGATCATGCCTCCTTATTTTCCTTTTTGGCAACTTACAACTAAAATGAACATTTTGTGTAATTGATGGCATCAACAGTAATTGCAATTCATTATATTTTCTGCATGCAAAATTTTGTTACAATTTGGAAGCTTGTTACTCTAACGCTTCTGTTAGAAACGTCTTCTTTTCACGTACAGACAACTTAATTCAGTCTAAAATCTGTAGAAAATAGCAGTCTACCTTAAATATATAACTTAAAGTTCAAAATAAAGGAGAAAGTGGTAAACTATTATAAGTAAAAATCTGTTTCAAATTTTCAATATTTTTGCTGCTATTTTAACATTAAATATGAGTATTTACTTATAACGATAGATAGCTATATCTATCGTTATAAGATAGTCGCTATAAGATAGCTATAACGACAAAATCGTCTGCTATTATGAACAGTCTTTGCAACAGGCTTTCACTGTATTTCTTCAATTTTAATATAATTCTGGGATGAAATGCAAAATTTATAAATACAAACCTTTTATGGTATTCCCTCCATAAAATTTTTTCCTCGGGAGTTATAGCTCTCTTTAATTCTGCATCTTGCAAGCGGGAATACATGTGAATTCCATTCAGAGCCCCAACTGTAGCAAAGGGCAGTTTCTAAAAACAATTCAAAAATTTTAGTTTTTATAATTTATAACTATGAGGCACTTTAAAAATGAACAAGGAATAAAAAATAACATTAGTATGTTTTCAGTCTGATTTAATGCAAACGATTATCAGGTTAAAGTCCTTGTAAGATGAGAAATAAATAAATTTCAAGGGAACTAACTGGATACTTTCTTAAGCATTTCTAAAATGTACTCGAAAATCAAACTAAACCTTTTTCGATTATTATACAGAATATTCATTTATTATCACAAAAACACTGCACAAACGGAAAGTTTTAAGTAAAAGGAAGAAAAATAAATGCATCTAATATTTTCACACAATAATATCAAGACATTTTATGATATAAAATGAATCAAATAATTGAAATAATCCTCTTTTTTAATGTTTATTATTTTAAAGTTTATTTACAATATTCCGATATTTCTATATGAATCTATTTGCACCAATTAAAATCGCTAAGACATAATAAGGGTATTAAACTTGCACATTTTTTTTTTTAATCTGTACAGGTTTGCCTCTTCTGTTAGATTTCTTTTTAATTTTTCCATAGACTACTGCCCAAAAGTCACCAAAACTTGGCATTTATTTAGGTATTTGATATGCCATGAAATAAATGCTAAAAGTCACCAAAACTTGGCATTTATTTAGGTACAAGTATAGATACAGAAATCTTCTCAGAACAAAACTACTTTTAATAAAAACTTCATTAATTAAAGAGAAAATTAGGGAAGATCCCCGAGGCAGAATCATGGCCCCACGGCGACATTGTAGCAGAACATTATCGAGTTCTTGCAGAAAGATTTTTCTTTTGGGAAGTAAAAGTGCTTTTCTTTTCTGTATAAATTTTTTTTCTATTTTTTCCTGCAGTTATTACTACTGATGTCCACATAACTTTTTAAATCTGATATTTTTAATACGATATTATTTATTACAACAACTGAATCTCAAAATTAAAACACGGATTCAGTAACCCCTTTTTGAAGAGTCCGATTCTCATGGTTTCGCCGTCGATCTTCTTTTCAGTGGTTACTGCTATAGATTTCCCGTTCTTTTTTTTTTTTAATGTAATGAATTAAAAAATGCAAAAAAGGAAATAATTAGTGTGTTATCTTCCTACGAAGTGCGAGAAAAACGCCCATAATATTAGAATAAAAAAATATTACATATTCAATTAAAAAAATAATTTTATTTGATCCGATTTTTTTAAAAATTATTTTTAAGTTACCTCTTCTGTTACTTTAAATAAGTACCATATATTCCGGCGCATAACGCGCCCCGTCGCATAACGCGCCCCGGCGTATAACGCGCACCCATAATTTCTAATAACTTTCTTTAAATTTTAAGATATACTCTTCGTATAACACACACGAAAATTTGGATTGTACATGTGCAATATCTCGTCTAGTATCAATAGATAACCAGAAAGCCTTTTAGTGTGGGACATGTTTAGGTCCCACCTTACAGATAATACAAAAAAATTGTTGAAAGAATGTAATACCGATATGGCAGTTATTCCGGGCGGAATGACACTATTAGTTCAGCCATTGGACGTATGCTTAAACAAACCATTTAAAGCCAATTTAAAAAAACCAGTGGNTACATTACTTTCGTTTTAAAAAAAATTACATCGCTTGCATTAAGTAAAAAAATATTATTTAAAATATAAAAAACATATGTAAGTAGGTAATAAAGAATAATGGAACCAACCGACTTAATCTCTCCTGTAGATTGTTGAAAAATTGGTACACCGCCATCAGCTGTAACAACAGCAAAGTAAGCCATTTTAGAATTTTTTTAAGCGTAAGTCAATTAATTAACATATATATTACAGCAGAATTACAAAATCTTCGGCACACTAACGGGAATCTAAGAATCTGGATTCTGAAAACGTAAATAACTGTTTTGAATATTAAATTTCTCCTTATATCACCACAAAATATGTTAATTTGAGAGGAATTTCTTCGATCAAAAATTTATCAGAAAAAATACAATGATAAACATCTAAACGGTTAATTAACATGCTAACTACAAAGGAGAAATTGTTGACAAAAGAACTAATGAAGCGAAAAGTAAACAAGAATGAAATAATAATAAGTTCTCCCATTTGATTTCATGTCGAAAGCAATAAGCGCTTTAGTCTAACTTGTAAGAAATTTCTAAATCTTCGAACAGCGAACACAGATCAAGCATGCGCGAATCACATTTGCATTCACGGAGGATCGTACGTGCGATTCCAATTCATTGAAAAAAGAGTAAATTAGTAACGTTTAGATAATAAGCTTATCATTAAAAAATCTTAATTGACAACGATACTTTTTTCGGTGTACTATATGACAACTTAGAAAATTAAAATTACGTAGATGTGCAGAAAATTTGCAGAGAGTAAGAAACTTGTAAAAAAAGAGTCTGTCCACTTTAGAGTTCTTAGAAACGCAACTAAGCAGTTTAAATTCGACGTTCTTAAAAAGTCATTCCAATTTATGAGCTTGACATAAATTTTTTCTAAAACTTCAATTAGTTGGAAATAGTAATTATTAACTTCAGTGTTTTTTTCCGACAATTTCTCATACTGTTTCACATTAAATAAAATTCTCTAGTCTACTACTGAAAAAAATTTAATAAATTTTTATTGAGATCATTTTTATTTAATGAGCTTAGGTTAATATCATCTGTCCGTCTAATTAATCAAGGGAAAATTTTATATAATAAAAGTTCGCCAAACAAATTGAAGTGATAAAAAAAAAATTTATGGATAAGAAAAAACGATCCCTTTTAACATTATTCATTTTTGCTGTATTTTTATGCATGTATGTGTTTGTTACATTTTCTTATTTATGACTAGTAGAACAATGGAAGATGTTCAATGCTTTAGCCAGATCAGAAGACGCTTCTTATACTATGTGTATTACATATACTACTTTTGAGCTCTGCATTATACTAACGTTGCATGGAATAACACCCCTCCTCAAACATATCCCAGATATCTTGAACACATCTTGCAGCCGCAACCAGTCTGGTAAAAAAATTACATGTCTTCCATTCACGCATTTTTGGTGTACATATGCATCACAACTTGGAGTGCAGTAAAAATAATATGTTGTTTATTGCAATTGTACATTCTGTTTAATTTACAACTTTTTCTTGCAGCTGTGGACCCCATGTTATCGACCCTATGACATTTTTGATTTTTTTAAAGTTTAGGTATTTTATTGCTTTACCCTTTCAATATTTTATCATGTTATTTTTAAAACACCATGCGTATGTCTCTTACCTCGTTTAAACTTTTTTTTTTCATTAATCATTACGTTTAATTTTGGGTGAATAAATTTCAAAATTGGGAAAACATTGACGCTTTTCTAATGTCACCCTTTCCTTAAAATTAAGGAAGAAAGCAATTACAATAAAATGAAGAAAGCTTTATTATACCGAGATAATGCATATCCAGAGAATATCTGCATCAAGCCTCTAATTTACTGCTTTAATTTAGGGATCCTTCATGAATGATGTCAAGCTTGAAGGGGGGTAAGGAAGTTTGTGAGTTGTAAAAATTTGTGACAGGATTACGAAAGATAGGTGTAATATGAAGTGTAACACCCCTCATTTCGGTTAAAATTAAAAAAAAAAAATTGAAAATTAGCAAATTAATTTTTTTTTATTGAATTAAGAATTCATATAATAATTATTGTAACGCTTAAGTAAAAGAATACAAAACATTTAATTCTCTTCGTGAAATTGTAAAAGTTTGTGACAAAAGGAGGAGTAGGTGCAATATGAAGTGTAACACCCAACAGTATGGTTAACAAAAACAAAACAAAAATTGAAAATCAAGATATTCAGTATTTTACTGATCTAAATGAGAAATCATATAATAATAATTGTTGTAACGCTTACAAATAATAATGCTATTAAAACACAGAAATCAAAACATAAAATATACTTTGAAATATATTTTAACGTTGTGCTTTGTTCCTGAATTAAAAATATATTTTTATGAAATGTTGGCTACTTGTAACAATGGGGAAAAGTGTGACACTTTCTGACAAAATGGAGAAGTGGATCAAAAAATTATTTAAAAAAATGTGACATTATTTATGCACGTAAACTGTAAATTCCTGAATCAGCTGGAAGTATGTTTCTTTCAATTACATAAACTCGTATTGAATATTTTATAACTTTTGTCTAAATCATGTCTAAAATTAACTTAATTCTAGATCAAACCATTTATACTCTTCTCTTCATTACATGATGTTATCGTAAAAAAGTTGGTTTTATAAGATGGCTGAAAAATTGCAATTAATTTATTTTGACAATAAGTTTAATTTTTAAGACTTGGTGTTTATTGACCATGTTATTATATGGCTTATTACTTGATAAAAAATTAATGAAGTGGGGCATTTAAAAACTCAAATACGATCTTACTATTAATGAAATTTTATATATTTTTTAGCATGTTTTGTATAAATTTCATTAATAGTAATTTATTTCATTGACATTATATTTTCATTTTTTATAAAATTCTTGTTCGCATGTTACTGCTACTTAACCTTTTTTTAATGAAATATTTTAAAAAGTGCTGTTACAAAAGAAGTTTTATGAGGTAAATACAGTTTTAGGATAGTTTTTTTTCTTTTCGTACCCCGAATTAAATTATACTGCTGTTTATTATAGTATAAAAATTTTGAAACACCATAAAATTCTGAATTAAAATTTTGAGGCAGTATTTGAAACTCAAGAGGAAAAAAAAACTTTAATTTTTGATTCTAAGAAAAAAAAATTTGCATTAAATATTTTTAGTGATTTTTTTCCATCTAAATTTCGGAGACAAATACGATTTAGAAGAAATAGTTTCAAAAGTATATAGTCCAAGAACAGTGAAAAGAGATGCATTTGTGAAGTTTTACTTTCGGTACTATATAAATTTATAGCTGCGAACAACTATTAATTCTATCATCAAAAAACTTGAACACATTTTGTAGCGATATAGAAAGGTAACAAAGTTATAACAATGCTATTTAGAAATGTATTTCAACAATGGTTGTCAAATAATCAATTTGTAAAATGCTTCGTTTTACAAATCTTAAGATTTTGTGCATTTGCAACAATGAAATTCTCTTATTATTGTAATTTATTCTATCTTGATCATTTGAGCGCTGTTTGGAGTCAAATAAATTTAGAAAAAGCGTATTTATTTAATATAAGATTTAAAATGTCGAAAGGTGTGAAAAAAACATCAAATGATAAACTCGCTGAACGCATTGAGAATGCAGTTGAAATATTGCAAAAAGAGAAAAAATATACTAGCCTTGGCCATATTGGATCAGGCTCATTTGGACAAGTGTTCAGAATGATAGAGCCCTTGAACAAATCTGAGCTGGCAGTAAAGATTGTGCCCTACGAGATGGTGTCAAAAGCCGAGTCGGAACTGTGGGAAAATCTGAGTCATCCCAACTTAGTCCCCTTGATAGGCGTGCACAAATTGAAGATACAAAAAACTTTTGTCTTCTTGATGCCAGTTTATCCAACCACATTGTTTGACTCCATTCAAGACTTGACTCCATGCAAGGGAGCTTACAATATCTTAAAGTCTTGGCTGAAAGACGTGCTCCAAGGATTGGACTATCTTCATTGTAATGGAGCTTGCCATCTGGATCTTAAACCGGACAATGTTCTCATAACAGATCAAAATTCTGCACTCTTGTGCGATTTTACATTTTTAAGGGATTGTAAAACACCTCTCTATAAGTATGTATTTTTAAAAATGTATTTTTAGTTATTATTTCATAAATGAAAGGCGTTTTATTTATTGAATTTATTAAAATGCGTTTTATTTATTAACCAAAAACAACTTTTTTGTTGCAGACATGATATTGGCTTGCCAAGTATATACCAACCCCCTGAAGTTATCCTGTCTAAAGAGAGAAAACACCTTGATGGCACCAGCATAGATATGTGGGCGTTCGGTTGCCTGTTGATGGAACTACTTAGTTGTTTCACATTAACAAATGCATGTATGGACGGGAGGGAACAAATGTATACTACAGTACTAGCCTTATTAGAGGTATAGCTTTATTTCATAATGAATAGCCCCCCAGCGAACTGATCGTAAGACACAGTTCCCAGTAGATCACTTATGTCGCGAGTGGGTGACCCATTTGATTAGTCTGCGAAGAGATCGAGGGAGTGCGATATTGGTCCTCGTTAAACTGTTCTACCGTATAAATAGCTCGACTTCGCATTCTACCAAAACGGGAGTCATTCCCTACGTAGAAGATCAAAATTGTGATGTCATGTCTTTGGATCATACTTGCACCCTATTTACACGAGGACAGAAAAAAAGGTGTCTGAAAGCAGTCTTTGAACGTGACTAGCCGGAAAAAAATTTTTGTTAAGTTAACACTATTTCTGATGTTAATAGCACCACCTTGTAAGGAGTAGTGAAAAATAACCACATGATGCAAAGTGCCAATCATCATCTCGCGCATGAATTCCGGCCTTACTCGAAGTTGCCTTCATCAGGCAATGCTTGCCTGAAAGCAGTCTAGGACAATCTTAATTGAAAAATCTGGTTTACGTTCGTCTGGTGACATCACGAGCATGATACCAGGCCTCGTGTAAATGGGAAGTAAGGGATGATTCCTAGACTGTAGCTCCATTTGTGATGTAAATTGAATACTTCTGTCACTAGTCATACAGATCCAAATCTGTTTAATGCAATCTCCCCCAACGAACTTAATTTTAAGGTACCAAACATTAACATCTGCGTAGCTTTAGCGCTCAAATTGAGAAACGAACAGAATTCATTTGGTTAAGTCATAAATCTTCAGTTTGAAAACAAGCTATTTGTTTTGATTTGAATGAGCATGTGCAAATTTTATTGTGATTAAATAACTCATACATTGAATAAAAACTTTATTAAGCTCTAAATTAAAGCAAACACGTTTTAAAAATAGATTATTATTATTATTTTTTAATTTTTAAAACTATTTTTTAAGTATATTGATATTTGCTTTAACCTTATCTATATTTCAGTTTTAGATTTAATGAGTCTAAAAAGTAAATTTCAAATGCAATAGTGATGTGTGGTAGAGAGATGTAGGGTTTATTACTCAATTAAATTCATTTTTGTAGCAAGTAGAGAGAAACTACAAAATTTTCCGATTTTCCGAAGGAAAATGATTTCTTTCACAAATATATCTATCACCATTTATGTGCCTTTGTGAAGAGTTTCTTTCCAGTAGAATTTTTAAAATTTTCATTAGCACTAAAAAAAATTTTGCAACTCGAAAAACGGTTAAATTTTTTTCACCGCCCTAAATATTTTACTAAATTTAAATGTTGGAATGATTGTATTCGTAACATGCTGAACAAGTTTAGAACAAATTCACAAATTTCAAAACAGAACTTTAATAATAATTAATTAGTAATAGATTAATTACAAATTAATTTGTAAGAACTTATTAATAATATATTAATTAATTAATAATTTAAAATTTAGGATATACACATTTACATAGTTAAGTCATTGTTATATTCGATCTAACTAATTGCAAGCTCAAAATTTTCATCTACGCTTAAGTATCGTAAAACAAGTATCCAGGCATTTACTTAACCACTTTTCCCGAAATTTATTTTTATTCTAGCCGGAATATACTTAGCTGTTTTTCTGAAAAACAAAATTATCTTTCCTTCAAATCACTCAATAAGGATATGTAATGTAATGTGAGAAATTATCGGACAAACATAAGAATTCCATTAACTAAACTCAGTGGCGCGACAGCCCATAGAGGGCCAGGGCCATACTGTGCCCATCTCAGTTTTCTTGACCTTGGGCTTTGGGGTGCAGGAGCAGATGTTCCGGTTAGGTGGTCAGCCGAACGCGGAACCACCAGTGTTTAGTTCCCAAGCATGCTTGGAATCCGCATGCATTTATCGATCCACTGAAGGGATGAAAGGCTGAGTTAACCTTGCCCGGCCCGAGGATCGAACCCAGGACTTGTGGCACGGGAGCGCGAAGTGCTACCACTCAGCCACCGGGCTAAGAATTCTATAGGAGTCGTAAATTTAGAACTATATATAAATTGAACTTATAGCAGCTATAATTATATCTAAATATATACTAGCTATACTTTATTAATTTTCTTCGCAGGAATACAGCTTACTGCGGCCAATAATGACAAATATCTTCAAAGGTGATGATCTGTGCGAGACAGATGTGACACTTGCCCTCCGATTCATGAAAGAGTTTCTGACATTTGAGGCGTCACGTAGACTACCAGCCTGTAAAGCTTTGACGCACGATTTTTTTCACAAAGATATTGACAGCATTCACAATAACGCAGATGCCAAACACACACCACCAACAAACAGCACTGCGTCTACTCTCCGCAGAGAGCATTTATCAGTAAATGAAGCTGTGATGTTGGAAAATATTGAAGCAGAAAAGACACAGGCGCCCAAAACTCTTTCGGAAAGTGATAGGAAGCAATTGAATGATTCGAAAAGGAGTGAGATTGGTATACACAAATCTACGGATAAACAAAGTATGCCAGGAACAGGACCGGAGATGATGACTCTGATGTCGGATACTCTTCCCTTAAAGAGCATCAATTTAGAGAATGAATGCGGTGTGAAACCGACTGATATTGATGAATCAGACGAGGAACAAATCATGACAAACATTGAAGATAACATAAGGATTGATACAAGGCAAAAGAANTTGACTCACGATTTTTTTCACAAAGATATTGACAGCATTCACAATAACGCAGATGCCAAACATACATCACCAACAAACAGCACTGCGTCTACTCTCCGCAGCGAGCATTTATTAGTAAATGAAGCTGTGATGTTGGAAAATATTGAAGCAGAAAAGACACAAGCGCCCAAAACTCTTTCGGAAACTGATAGGAAGCAATTGAATGATTCGAAAAGGAGTGAGATTGGTATATACAAATCTACGGATAAACAAAGTATGATAGGAACAGGACCGGAGATGATGACTCTGATGTCGGATACTCTTCTCTTAAAGAGCTTTAATTTAGAGAAAGAGTGCGGTATGAAACCGACTGATATTGATGAATCAGACAAGGAGCAAATCGTGACAAACATTGAAGATGATACAAAGATTGATACAGAGAAAAAGATTGACCTCATTTTGTTAAAAATTATTGAATTAAGAGAGGAAGTGAAATATCTCCGTATCAAATTGGAGATCATAGAGAAGAGTTTGGAGAATCTCATGAAGAGAAATTCAGTTGATAAAAACACGAAGTCAACTGGCGAATTGGAAAATAGGAGGAATGAGATCAACGGAGAATCTATGGTAGATAGACCTATTAACAGTGTGAGGAAAACCCCTGATGAAGTAGTGATTGTTCATAAAGGTGAGAACTCTTAAAACAAGTATCAACAAACACTTTTTCTTTCAACAATTTTGTTAACTCCTATACATACATTATTCAATTACTTAACAAGATTAAACAAACACTTTTCCTTCAACCGATTTTGTTAACTTCTAAAAACGTAACATTTAATTACTTTACGTTTTAAGTATAAACAATAATGGGCACACAAACGCTTAACTTCCAAGGAAATTTCGCAGCAACTTTGATTTCTGTATAAGTTTCATTCTTGCTACAAATAAATTAATTAAAATATATTTTCTCCCTTATAAGATGTATATATTTTAGAGGTTTAGATTAAAGTTTGGTAATCAATAAGTAACGTGCTAATGAGATAAATAACTTCATGCAAAACCATTTTATGCTTAAATACAATCTGTTCCATCTACAGTAAGTTCAAATTTAAGATTGCGATAATGTTTAAGAGTTTATTCTATATCTACGCAGTTCATAAGGTGTCCCGTGCTTTCTGCAGTTCACGCATGTCAATACTAATGCATGCAATTTAAATGCATGCCAATAAGGAATACAAAAAAGTCTACTCATTGTGGATAGCAAATATTAATTTAAGCGAGGCGGAAGCAAAAACGCAATCGAAATCTAATAAATCCTTTTTTAAAAAGTGGAACGCAAAACATCAAAACGGGATAAGTTGTCCATTAAAACTGCGAGGTGTTTCGAATAATCATTTTTATAACTCTTCACAATTTCTTTAGTAATCAACCGATCAATGCGTACACTTGTTAGGCTTTATTCTTTGATAAGTATAATAAAAACATAATCTAAAATCTGTCATGGCAAAACGTTTTGTGTTTGTCATAATTAAATAAATTCTAAATGTCTACATAGAGCCGCTCTGGCTCAGGGGATAGAGCGCTAAACACCCAATAGTGTGACCCAGGTTCGAATCTCAGCATTGAATGGTTGATACTAATTCTGCTCGGTCTCGCACCGAGCACAGTGCTGACGTGAAATATCCTCAATGGTAGATGGATCATGATGGGTTATTGTCTCCTTGTCATCAGGCTAACTGTGAGAATTTTTCGTGTCTTTCTTCTCCCTATAACGTAAATGCTGGTAAATTTCATCGAATAGTCTTCAACGGAGGCTAATTTGTCCCAATGTTTCATCCAAGAGTTCCCTGAGTTGGGCTTAAAAGTACAAGGCTACATAATTGAACATTGATAGTCGTAAACTCAAAATTGGGTCGGCTGTTCAACGACGGTTACGAACTAAAAATAAAATATCAATATAATTACTGATTAAAAGTATTTTTGACAGTATGAGTTAGACTTTTCCTTTTCTAACATAGAGAATGCCAAAGTTAAAAAAGAAAAAAAGAAAGGACGAGCTTTGAATTGGATGAGAACTGCTTGTAGAAGAGTATTTGGTTTATTCAAGAAGAGAGGATCAAACTAACTACAAGTAAGTTCTTTATTTTAAATTTATTTTTAAAAATAAAACCTTAAGTTGAAAATTATGATATTAACATGTGGTACTTAAAAATTATTGAACTAGGCTCAGAATATCACTTAAATGTCTAAAATGGGGTCATAGATATAATCCTAGACTATGAATCGCATTAACTGATTAAACTAATTAAAAGATAAGTCACTAGTACAACTTCCCTGATTAAACTAATTAAAAGATAAGTCACTAGTACAATTTCCCTGATTAAATTAATTAAAAGATAAGTCACTAGTACAATTTCCCTGATTAAACTAATTAAAAGATAAGTCACTAGTACAATTTCCCCCTTCATCGGAAGCCCTCCAACACGCCATCGGTGCTGTAGATTATTTTAGAATCTGCAGATTTTTCATCCGAGTTTCTTTTTTAATTTTAAAAAGCAAACGAACAAAAAAGCAAAACATTGCTGGTACAGCTTTTTAAAATATCTATAAACTTGTTTTTAAAAAAAATTAAAAAGCTGGATGTCGAGAACACCACAAAGAACAAAAAGTAAAGATTTTTTTCACTTTTGCTTGACAGATTTAACAGTACACGGATTTATTCCATTTTCTTATGATCAATGTATAAAATACAACTTAAATTTAAAGAATGTAAAGTTGTTAAATATAAGGACATTATCTTTACAAATTTTGCCGCATGTATGTTAGATTAAGCTGAATATTAAATATAATAATATCTGTCTGACTGCAACGAGATATTAGACAAACTTGGATTCATGTATGTAGATTCAGTACGTACACTGGGATGACAATGAACATTGATATAAAGGGCAAAACATTATAACGAACATTAAAATTAGCTCCAAAACATAAATAGTTGCAAAAACAGTGACGTTTTGCGTCTAATTCTTGTACGTTAAAAAGCAAATGTATTTAACTGGGTATTAGAATGGGATTCTACATATAAATAATAACCTCATCTAGTCAAATAAAATTAGTTCAAAAAAGGTCCCGCGACTAAATGAAACTTGTGAAAAGCTGGAACTTGTTTTAATTGCTTTGTTTTATTTCTAAGTGAAAAGATTAAAATTTGTCCTCTGAGCCAGTATTGCAAATACTGGCTTGCACCAGAGCGTATGGGATTGTTTAAAGAATGAGTTGGATATGTGAAGTTTACAAAATTGTTCTTATCATTTTTGTTTCCTAATAACACGTCAAATCATTTCAAAAATATTTCTCGTGATTTAACGAAGATATTTTTAATGCGTCCTGGTGTAGCTCCATTGCACGGATGACTTGATGTCAGAAGTCCTAATCTGTAAACTTAAATAAGATACGAAAGGTAAATAAATTATGTTTTGAAAAATCCTTTTAGTAATTTTGATTTATTTAATATAATATAATATAATTTTAATAATAATTTAATTTTATCCAATATAATAATAATAATAATTTAATTTAATTTTAATTAATATAATATAATTTTGATTTATTTAATATGAATAAAATCCTTTTATTTAACAAATCTTAGATACTATCGCATTGCTGATTTCAAATCTGAAATTGGTTTAACTCTACAGGTTACAATTTTATGCGAATTAATTGTTACAGTGTTAATAATACATTTTTTAACCAGAATTTTTTAAAATTCATTTGAAGGAAAACTAAATGTCCCCACATCTCTGCTACATAGGCAATGGTAAGAAGTAGACGATAATATATTTCAGTTTATGATGCGATGCGTTCAAATTATATGTTTTTAAGTTTTATTTTCAAAGGAGCAGACAAGTATATTTGTATGTATATAAACCTATATGTTCTTGATAAACTTGCACATTTAGATAAAAAAATATACTAAACTAAAAACATCATTTTGAAAAAAAAAAGTTTTTTTTTTTTCGAATAAAACTAATTTGAGATTGAAAACACCCACCCGAATTACGTGAGATCAAGTTAGTGTGCAAATTCAACAAAACATTTATTCCCCAGTGTAATAGGAGGAACTGAAAAATGAATTTTTGTCAGAAAAATTACCTTTTAATCTAAAATCTCGCTTTCTTCTTGTATTAGAATTTGTTGTATGCATTTTTTGTTATTTTCATTAAGACATAAAATACTTTTCTTCTAGATTGTATAATTGACAGACTACTGATTTCTATGACGGACAATTTATAGTCATTGCAAAAAGCGACCTAAAAGTGAAAATTATATTGGATAAGTGATAAAAAACATGATGACTCTTGAAAAGTTTTTATTTTATTCATGTACGACGGAATACTGTTTTGCATGACTGACTATTGTTTTGCAAGACGGACTATTGTTTTGCAAAACGGACTATTGTTTTGCGAGACGGACTATTGTCTTGAAAGACGGACAATTTTTTAGTCATTGCAAAAAAAAAAGACTTTTAAAGTGAAAATTTGCAATGGAAAAGTAATAAAATGGTGATGACTCTTGAAAACCTTTTTTTTTTACGAACTTGAAACTGGAACTTACATTTGGAAAATATGAAATAATGATGACTGAAAAGTTTTCCATTTAGCCATGTACGATGAAATATTGCTTTGCATGACTGACTATTGTTTTGCAAGACGGACTATTGTTTTGCAAGACGGACTATTGTTTTGCGAGACGAACTATTGTTTTGTAAAACGGACAATTTTTTAGTCATTGCAAAAAAAAAGAGTTTTAAAGTGAAAATTTACAATGGAAAAGTAATAAAATGGTGATAACTCTTTAAAGCTTTTAGTTCACGGACTTGAATTTGGAATTTACATTTAGAAATAATGAAATGATGATGACCGAAAAGTTTTGCATTTACCCATGTACGACGGACTATTGTTTTGCATGACTGACTATAGTTTTGCATAACGGACTATTGTTTTGCAAAACGGACAATTTATAGTCATTGAAAAAAGCGACTTAAACGTAAAAATTTACATTGGAAGAGTAATAATATGGTAATGACTTATGATGGATATGATGGAGTTATGATGAACATGATGGACAATTTGAATCAATCCAAAAAGATAATCCAATATTTCTTTATTAAATTATATTTATTGCTATAATGTTATTCTTCATTGTCAAAAACTGTTATTTGGTAAATGTTTCAAAATTTATTTATTTTCCTTTTAAGGAAATAAAGAATTATTTTCATAATACCTTTTTGTCGTTAATTCATTAAAATGCACGCAATTGCGAAAATTTTATTTAAATCCTTTTTAAATAAATTATCTAAATTGTCTTATAACACATTATTAAAGTCCATAAAAATTATCAATGCATTATTTATAATTTAGATTAGTAATAACGGAGAAAGTTTTGATTGGTAATGTATAATTATCATTAAAACTAACTCAGTGGCGCGACAGCCCATTAAGAGGGCCAAGGCCGACTGTGCCCATCTCAGTTTTCTTGACCTTGGGCTCTGGGGTGCGGGAGCATATGTTCCGGTCAGGTGGTCAGCCGAACGTGGAACCCCCAGTGTTAGTTCCCAAGCATGCTTGGTACTCATTTTATCGACCCACTGAAGGGATGAAAGGCTGAGTCGGCCTTGCCCGGCCCAAGGATCGAACCGAGGACCTGTGGCACGACAGCGCGAAGCGCTACCGCTCAGCCACCGGGCGTCAATGTATAATTATCATTAATGTTAAAAAATTTGTAATAAAACATCACTTTTCAAAAGAATTACCAAGGATTTCTTTAAAAATTTCAGTTAAAATTACAGAGTTTAATGATTTACATAGGTTTTAGAATGCAGAAAGGAAATTGATCAAGATTTGTTACTATTCAGGAAGAAAAAAAAAGAATCTTTTTGGCTGACTTCAAGTTTAAAAATGAATAGTATTTGAACCGCATATTACAAAAAACTTTATCATATTAGTTTTAGAGAACTTATTTTTGGTGACTCTTTCAAAGTAAATATGACATTGGACACGACTTCTCCATAACTATTGCACCGAGCTCATTGGAATTCTGAAATTTAAAATTATTTAACCTCTTTGCGCTTATGTCAGGGTTACATTGCGAATAATTTATACAACTATTGATATCACTTTAGTTTGTATCATGTTAATTTGAGTTAAAATTAGATAACACATATTAACGTTAAATTAAGAATTTAATGATTTAAAATATTCTTGATTACATATTGATACCATAACACATACCCTCCAACTTATGAAGATTTTGAAAATAATTCTTTCTAGTGGTAGCGAACCAAAGTAGAAATTTTTAAAGCAAATGGATCTCTCATAAAACTTTTATCAGAACTTAAGAATCTAGCCATATGGCCTGCACTTTTATAAGTAATAGTGGACAAGTTACGCTAAAATTAATTTTTTTTTTAAATATTAAGACATTAATTTTGCTACCGTCTGAAAAGAAGATTTCTGAAACTACGGAAATTCCGTAGCAGTTGGAGGGTATGCCATAGCATTAAGTAATGCGAAAGGGGAGAAGAAGCTAGGATTACTCACTAGGGCGTCATATCTTAATCTATAGTTCGTTCACCAGGAGTTGACACTTGGCTCCACCTCCTCGAACGCAGAGTTCAGCGCGGGGGAGTAAGAGGAAAGACATTTCCCCGCTTGAAATCGAGATAACCTCTAATGCGCTCAAAGCCTCCTCACGGTTTTTTATAGGTAGTCCAATCTGACCAATATGAAGGCAAACCAGTTTACGAAAGAGCCCTTTAATAGAAAATCTAGTAAATTTAAAAAAGTGGTAGCAAATATATGTCTAAAAATTTGTTTAATTTTTTAATAGTATTAACTTGTCTTATTTACTTGTCTACCACTACAGGTTCAATTCTCAAGTATATATGACAAATTCCTCTCAGTCACTTTTAAAATATTTCATCAACCTTTCTGAAAATAACGTTTACTCATGCTGATACAATTCTGAACAACTCCAAAATCAAACAGACACAGTTTAAAGCAAGCTGCTCAATTTATTTTTGATTCCTTTTTAGTTATTCAAGCAAAGAGCTTGAAACATTCATAA